AAACACCCTAAAAACAGCCCAAAAACAGCGCAAAAACACCCCAAAAATAACCCAGAAACAGCCCAAAAATAACCCAAATTAACCCCAAAAATAACCCAAAAACACCCTAAAAACAGCCCAAAAACAACCCAGAAACAGCCCAAAAATAACCCAAATTAACCCCAGAAACACCCCAAAAATAACCCAGAAACACCTCAAAAACAGCCCAAAAATAACCCAGAAACACCCTAAAAACAACCCAAAAACAGCGCAAAAACAGCCCAAAAACAGCACAAAAACAGCCCAAAAATAACCCAGAAACACCCTAAAAACAACCCAAAAATAACCCCAGAAACATCCCAAAAACACCCCAAAAACAACCCAAAAATAACCCCAGAAACACCCTAAAAACAGCCCAAAAACAGCGCAAAAACAGCCCAAAAATAACCCAAAAACACCCCAAAAACAACCCAAAAACACCTCAAAAATAACCCCAGAAACACCCCAAATTAACCCCAAAAATAACCCAAAATAACCTAAAAACACCCCAAAAAAAACCCAAATTAACCCCAAAAACACCCTAAAAACAACCCAAAAATAACCCAAAAACACCCCAAAAAACACCCAAAAATAAGCCAAACCACCCCAAACCAACCCAAAACCACCCAAATCACCCCAAACCACCCCACACCAACGCCGTGGGCGGGTTTGAGATTCGGGACTGGGGTTGGTTTTTGGGGGATTTGGGGAATTTTGGGATGGGGATGGATGGGACTCCGGGATTTTGGGATGGGATTTGGGGAATTTTGGGATGGGGTTGGGATTTTGGGATTTTGGGCGAGGTTTTAGGGCGGGGTTTTGGGGGGTTTTGGGTTTTTTGGGGGTTTTTTGGGAGTTTTGGAGGTTTTTTTTGGGTTTTTTGGGTTTTTTTGGGTTTTTGGGGTTTTTTGGGGTTTTTGGGGTTTTTTGGGGCTGGTTTTGGGGTCTCTGTGCTGTTTTTGGGGTGTTTTTGGGGTGCTTGTGCTGTTTTTGACGTGTTTTTGGGGGGTTTTTGGGGTTTTTGGGGTCCCTGTGCTGTTTTTGGGGTCTCTGTGCTGTTTTTGGGGTGTTTTTGGGGTCCTTGTGCTGGTTTTGACGTGTTTTTGGGGTGTTTTTGGGGTTTTTGGGGTGTTTTTGGGGTGTTTTTGGGGTTTTTGGGGTCCCTGTGCTGTTTTTGGGGTGTTTTTGGGGTCCTTGTGCTGTTTTTGACGTGTTTTTGGGGTGTTTTTGGGGTTTTTAGGGTGTTTTTGGGGTGTTTTTGGGGTTTTTGGGGTGTTTTTGGGGTGTTTTTGG